AAGAGCATAGTTCTGTCTACAAGTACATTATGGTATTTTTTCTCCCCTAATCTTTTATAGTGCAACTGTCATACATGTAGAGATAGTCCAGGAATTCATCCTATTCTAGCTATTTCCTCTCCAAGGCCAAATTTTCACAAAAGTTTCATCCAAAGCCTGATCTCAATGAGATAATGCCATCCCAAATGAGGACTATTCCAGTGCTGTGTCTGCCAGGTCTGCCAGTACTGTCTCCTCCCCTGGGTCCTGCAGGGTCAGTTCATCATTCAGCTGCCACACACGAACATGTCCCAACTCATCACCTGTAGCCAGCAGCTGCCGACTGCAAACAGACATGAAGAAACATTTCAATACAAGGGAAATGGAAACATGAACGAATATAGGTGTACAAAATGTACACCATTATTATGTTCAGGAACATCAAACCTTTGCTCAACTAATATTACATTATTATGACATGAAGGCTAGATAAAAATTTTCATTGACAACAACAGATATCCTAATTTCCCTACTTGTGCAGGTTGAACTCGAGAGTGTAGACAGGTTTCTTGTCAGAGCCAGCTTCCAGTGTACAGACAGGGTTGACCTTGTGAACCACAAGGTCGTAGATGAGAAGCTGCCCCTCCCCTGTTACCACGGCGAACACGGATGGTCTGACCGGCGACCATCGTGCTGAGAAGATGTATCCTGCAGCAGGCTCCAGCTCCAGTACAGGCTTTGTCTGGGCAGGGAGAAATATATTTTCAATATAAAGCACACTCACTACAGAAATTCTGGAAACAATGAATTTCATCAATCATGTCTACCATGCTTGACATGGTTCTACATCCAAAGTTCAACCAACTTAGCTGGCTATGTGGTTGTGTCATACAACAGAAGTAACAAAACTCCATTTCCAAACCAGTGTTTGATGTTACAAGGGGAATTCTTGGAGGACCCCAAAAATCAGTCATGGTTATCATTGAACAAAAGTGTGATCATAACAACTGAGGTACCATTTTGAATAAAAAAAACAAGCTTAGCAATTATCTGTAATGCTATGTCACCTCATCTCCAGTGGTATTCTACTATCAGATTAACAGGTGTGTTACCTGCAGCATACTGTAGACCCTGGCAGTTTGGTCTATACCACATGTCAGGAACAGGTTCCTGTGATAGGGGGAACACTCCACCGCATACACCGGACCAACATGGGGGGTAAAGGCAAAGCTGACAGGGTTCTTCAAGGGGACAGATGACTGGATATGAGCTGGAAATGTCAAAAAGATGTCAGAAAATTATAAAACAGTGATGTATCTGTTAATAACACAGCAGCTTTAACTCGTTAAAGGTTCTAACACACATGGGAGCAGGTAAAAGGAACAAAAAACAGATTTATTTAATTGCCAATGACAACTGTACATAATTCTTATCAACTACCAGTTAGTAAGAATTTATCCTACTCCGAGAAGAACTAAAAAAACATTTGGTCCTTATGACAATTCTCATGTCACAGACTGACCTGCAGCCAAGCGATCGGATGAGTTCATGGAACACTTAAAGACACCACCTCCTTCTGACCCAACAACAAACAGCGTCTTGTCTTCATGGGTGTAGGAAATAGCAGTCACTGAAAAAAACAGTTACATGTAAGTAAAACATTTTGATACTTAAAGAAGATCTCTGTCTGGACAATGCTAAAAAGACAAATTGATTACAGGTGTGAAAAGGCTAGTGTACCCCTGAACTGCATATACCCGGACATATTTTGTCCATGGCAGGGGTACTGTCTGGCCTGGTTCACCTGTACTGAAGAAAAGGAAATCAAAAGAAGGCATGATAGTAGACTATCACATATTGGACATGAAAAGTTTACCTCCCATCTCTGCATCTGGCCTCAGTCTTCCCTTCCTCATACTTCTGGGCATACTTTCTGCCAGCAACAGGAACCTGAAAATACAAAGATTGTTGGAAAATTAACATAGAGGGATCATTGAAAGGCATACAACTGGTATCAACATTCAGATAGATATTTAAAAGGAAAATTCATATGAAACCAAGGTCTAAATAAATATACATGTATCTTGAAATGTAGTACTGTAACAGACTATCAATATGTGCATACATTGATGTAATCAATGATCAGGTTCACATTTCTTTTAGTAATAGGGGGGAAAAGGCGGTTTTGTGGCGTGTTAAGTTCCACTTCCTGCTATACGTCTCATCCTAGATGACTCAGTTTTGTGTTGGGTCAAACAAGGAATTGCTGTTAAGTGCCAAAGTCAGAACACTGGGGCCTTCTAAGCTGAACCCAAAACATGCAAATGCTACTTAGAGCAGCTTTTAGACCAGAGAAATGCATAATTACAAAATGCAGTTGTTTTCTATTGGTGACCTAATTAAGGTGAATGAATGAGGATCCTAAGGGACCCTGAATGTTGCATAGTTAATCTGTAAGCTCATCAGAGAAACCATGTGAATTATTCATGCCTAATGCACTGGGCCAAACCCCCTCAGATTGCCACTTTGTTTATTACCAAGGGGATCCACAGTGACATTTCTCTCCTAGGAATTCCTTACCCACATGTCCTGCTGTGGTGGCTTATTACTAAACTATACTTTATTGATGTGAATTATATTTGAGCTTGATATGGTTATTCTGCAAAATCTATAGCATCCTGAGTGGATACAGGGTCAGAGGTGGTGGCTCAAGTCTGAGTCCATGTATGGCCTGTAACTAAGACTCACCCATCCAAGAGTTTGATTTCCTTTGACTGTGGGGAAGCCTGCCAGACCAGGATCTTTCCATCTCCACTTATACTGACAAGCTAGAGATGATAAAAGAATAGCAGATTAACAGAATAACAGATATTTAACAGTTCTTCCATGCAATTTATTTGTTTTACAAATTTCTAACCTGTCCTTCTAAAAAGTTTTCAACAGAATTACAATTTTAGTGTATGTCGCATTCAACCATTTTTTCCAGTTCCTCATAAGTGTTGACTACTTCTGTCAGTTCCTTTTACCTGGTACTGACATTTAGAAGAGTAATGGTTGTCACTCAAAATGTCCAGAAGTAGTGAAGTTTAAATTGTTTAGTATGAATTTTAGTAAGTGTACTGCAAGTTCACCTTGTACTTGTTTTTGCCTTTGCCCTCTGGGTCAAGGACCCAGACGACCCTTGACACAGGATCCCTGTGAGAGTCATCCTCTATGCCTGATGATGCCAGCAGGGGGTTGTCAGGTTGACTCAGGTCCCACAGCTGCACCTCGCCTGGTGAGAGAACATATGGGGCCCTGTTCAGTACCATGGACAGCAACTGGATGATGCTATTATTACTTCACCCCAGGGGAGTTAAGTCTTGTTTTTGGGTTGTCTATCTGTGCATCTGTGTGTGCTTACTATCTGTGTGTGTGTGTGTGCTTACTATCTGTGTGTGTGTGTGTGCTTACTATCTGTGTGGTGGGGGGGGGGTCTGCCTTATCCTAAAGACTTTGATGGTTATCATTAGAAAACAGCATTACAATTTTGAGTTGCTACTGTTTAATTGTTTTGAGTTGTTTATATGATTTATCACTCCTATGTTTGATTTTTACTCCTTTATGTTATATGACAGTTTGTATTTTGTCCCTTGGAAATCAACCCTGAAGAGGCTGGATGGGTAAATACTGACAGACCATAATGATCTCCAGGCAACCTTACCATTGAATGTTCCTCCTGCAATGAATGCTGGGATCTCAGGATGGAATGCCACACACATCAGACAGCTCTACACAGGACACAGGCAGGAAAACATGGGATTAGGCAATGCGAATTTAACTTCTTTGTTCTCATATTAAAAGACTGTATGACTGGAGATGTCCTTGGTGCTGAAAATGACCAGTGTTGTTTTCAACATGATGAACATCTAGTATACATGCTCCACTTCTGATATACTACATCACAGGAAATAACAAATACAGGTAAGAATATTATAAAGAAGTGTCACTACCCAACATCCAGCCTGTACATGTACAATACTTACAGAAATATCCACAGCAACATCTGCCTTTTTTGGGTTGATGTTTTTTCTGTCCACGTTCCAGGTACAGAGAAGGGACTGGAATGAAGAACAGGCAAAAACAAACAAATCACCATATTGATCAAAAAGTATAGTTATGACTACCATACCATACGATTATGACCTTGTTGGAAAACTGCTGAAAATTACTACATGTAGTATAATGTGATTCTCTTTTGTACATTGCAGTTTTCACAGTGACCTCTCTGAACTCAT